GCCGCAACTGATAGCTCTAAACAGAGAATTAATTATTCCATGTTGGATTTTAAGAAGTTTAAAACGTACGAAAAATCAGTTTTTGTTGGTTGATAAACAGCACCTTAACTATTATACGATCGCTACAAAGGTATAGAAAAATCACAAATGTTTCTTGATAAAGCCGTTTTAGAATAAAAAATGAAGAGTAGCAACATTTAACTTTTGATCAGATACAATCTGTTTTGGTAGCAGGGATCTTTTGAATGAGGCTGTTTGTGTTAATTGTTGTTCCATGATTATAGAGTTTCAAAAATCACAATCTTTACAATAAGCATATCTCCAATAATTATGCTTTAAGCCTGCTTTCGTGAAATCTCCGTTGATAATTCTGCTATACTCCATTGACACATTGCTTTAGCCTCGACAAATCAAAAGTGATAGTCTAAAATCAAGTTATGATATTCAAAACGCACGTTGCATGGTAAATAGAAATGAAATTTATTGTTTATCGAGTTTTCTTTTTTATTGACTTAGAAGTGCGTATTAATGATATTCGATATATTTTTTCAATATCAAAAACCACTAATAAGTTTACGTTCGTGTAAATTTTATAGAAATGTGTACAACATGTCGCTATATATTTGAAATAGCAAAAATAAATCCGTCAGATGTTTACAAAACGTCAAAAAGCTCACGGTTGCATACTTCAATATGAACAATACACCAATACAGGTTATTTGCTGATTCAGTTCAAACCAACTTCTCCTATCTAATATTTTCATGCATGCTGGTACTCGAAGGCTTTAAAATAAAATTGGTGAATTCTGATGAACTTTATGGCCAGAATAAATAATATATTTTACATTTCATGCCAGGTTATACACTCGAAAACAATAGTTCGTTTGATAGATATAGATGCTTTTTTTCTATTCATGTGGTTTGCCGCTATGTTCAGCGGTGCAGTCGGGTTGGTCACAACTGGTTCGTCGTATGTTCGATGCATTGAATTGGGATAACGATTGATTTGTACTGGGACGCATTCCGATCATATTGGTTATGGAATTCACGGGTGGTGGTGCCGATTCAGTTGCTATCTTTTCATCCAAAAGCTGCATATGAAGTAGATGAAAATGGCATACTTTCTTCTCTATTCTAGAACCAGTCAAAAGATCTTTTTCTAAGTTATCAATCTGAAAGAGGTGCTTTGAGAAAATATGAGACTAAGCACACTACAACAGACAACGGACATAGTTGAAAAGAAAGAGAATTTCGCAGTAGAATATTCTCCGTTTTTTCCTTAATGGCAACGTGACTCATTGCTCCATTGAGAAAATGACTGCGCTTTCACCATACTCAAGCATCGTTATATTCTAGTGGCCTCTCTCGTTTTCTCATCTTGTCTGAAAAGTTAACAGAAACAAACCATTTCCAAACATAAATATCGATTTTTAACTATCTAAAAATGATTGTCATTTCAAAACGTAATAGAACTTTGTAAAAAAATCACTTGTTTTTTAAGTACGCAGGATGAAAGGAATCATTCAGATTAGCTGAGCACTCAAATGATTAGTGCAGTTGTCAATGGATAATGCTTCTACGTAGAAAATGAGGGTGGCTAGTATGATAGGGAACGAGCTTCGTTTTCCTAAGTAAATCTTTAGGTTCTTCAAAATCAACAAAGTAGGGTACGTTAAAAGGTCTACTTTAGAGATAGAATAAAGATCGTTGCAGAGAAAAATATGACGACAAAGCTGTCATATATGACGCTGCCCATGTAACTACGAAACGCAGAATAGACGCCGCTAGATGCGTTTTGGTTGCAAATTACGGCGTTTTGATGCGTTTACTAACAAAATCTGCTGCAGACGCATCACTATGCATCATGATCGCACGTTCGTAAACGCATTCAAAAGTTCTTAAGCGTCTGAGCAGTACTAATAGAAATAAACACGCAGTAATGCGTTGAATGAAGAAATTTGAAACGCTTCTGAACGTGTATACAAGTGCTTAGACGTTTCACGCCTTTTCATGATTACAAAATACTGCGCTCTCACAACGAAACTCGTTCATCCACTCATTCTGTATGGAAACGAAAACGAACGCGTATTTTAAATATACTTTAGACGCCTCAGAAAGTGTTTTGTCGCATGTCCACGTTTCAAACGTAGTGCGATGCGTTTTTGCCTCTGATGCCAATGAGATATGCACTTCATTTTTGGAAGAAATATGGTCTTTTCAAGAAAATAGACACTCTAGATCAATTCAATGCATCGCGTTTCATTTTTCTTTAGCTTCAAAAATAGCGTTTTTCGCACAATATCGCTGTGTGTGAATCATAAGTTAATCAATCACGAAGACGTGATCGAATTTCTTTAGGACCACATTCCGAATAAGGATTGACTGTTGGTCAGTTAGATCATCAAATGGGATCGATAAGTTCAATTATGATAGAGCATTAAAACTCTTTTCTTTAGCATCAGAAAAAATAAACTTACATACAGTGATTTTTCTCCACTTGAAATAGTACTTAAAGTGAAGCGTCTTACTGCGATGTACTTAGAGAAAACTTCAAACAACTTTATAGACTGAATATGGTAAACAAGAAAATCTCAACGCTATTATCCCATCTCAGTTAGCGTCTAGACACACAAAGAACAAGAAATACAAATAAACAGAGCTCACACCATCGACAGCATAGAAAATCGAATGACACGCTGAAAGCTTATTCTAGTCTAAGGTTGATAAAATCTGTAAAAGAAACGAATGAATTGTAGTTTATTTTCAGGATTATCGATCCAGATTTTGAAGATACAATGTGTGAGTATTTTCTGTCAGCAAAATATCATCATTTTTCTTAAGAATGATTCAGTTTAATCGAAAATCTTTTCATTTGACTCATTACGAACAGTAATGAATTTCTTCGTCAGATTTGAAGATGAACCATGTTTTCAATGCGTTCATTGATAAAAAAAAAGTTTAATAAAATTTACCACGAAATTTAAGAAAATCACTTTTGAGGAAAAAAGCAGAAATCGAAGTGTAATTAATCGACTACTCACATAACGAAAAAACAAGATATATATGTTTATAAACTTCTCAACAAAAAAAACATGTTAGGAATCATTTCTCTATTGAAACATATATCCATGTGATTGAAAATTATCGTGTCGATAACAAGCCCTGAGTGGTTCAGAGGTCATGATGATTGACTTACAATCGACTGCTCGTGTGTTCAAACCTGCGTTCAAGTCTCCAATTAAGTATGTTCCACTCTGTTGCTCACCGGATTTTAGAATCATGTCATAGACTGCTATGAAGCGTTGGATCGATTCCAACACACGGTGATGGTCATTTTCAATTTTTTTTGGGCAAATATACAAAACACGTTTAGACGCTTGGCTGTCAAAATTCGATTTTGGATTCAGCTCGAGAGAAAAACGCACCTGATTTCGTTTGCGTGTTTGAATGCGTTTAGATGGAACCGAGTCGTTCGGTGCGTTTGGACTATTGAAAATGTTGCATTTTCGACGCGTCTAGATGAGTTAAGTTCAATTATTTTCAAACGCTCGGAGACGCATCCGAAGCCAAAAATTAGATACATGGATGTTACATCCACGAGTTTAGGAACCCAGGTCGTTTATTCTATTATTTTAAAATAAAGTTTAATGATGGAAAAAGTTATCATTGCTTTCTATTATAGAGTGTGAATAAATCTACTTTAATAGAATTCATTTTTTAAATAAATTTTCATGAGAATCATGAATACGAGTGATTCATTGCCAAAAGGACGTCCTTCCGGAAGTTTTTTTAAATAACGGTATAGTCTAGTTTAATTTATTGTCAATAAATATAGATTTTATGCACATTAATCATTCCAACAGTGGTTTGCGTGGAATAATTTCAATTCATACTTATGCTACATTTCCATCAATAGCATATCACATAGACGTCGACAAAAGCCACATGTCTTTGTATTTGACGTCTCTTTGTTTTACCATTGTAAACTAATAATATGCTTTTTTCCTAGTATCTTTATATGTCATTTCAGTGTTTTCGCTACCGAAGGTCTTCGAAAATAATGAGATAGTGAGAGATTCGAAAAATATTTCGACACTCTAAAGTTGTCTGCTATTTTTCTAATGTATAATAAGTCACATTCAAAGTAGAAGATGTAGGCTTACAGATTTCCGATTATGTACTATCGATCGCGAATCTACACAAATTTCAATGCGTCAAAAGATATTCATCACAGTTCAAGATCGCATCAAATACTTGTTACTTTTAATATCTCTCAATATCGTTTTGTTTTTGATTTATTCGTATCTTTTTCATCAGAAACCAACTAATCTTCCCCACAATCAGATAAAACTCTTTTGAGTTCGATTATGGTCGTGAAATGTTTTAACAACGATTTTTCATTCCACTGGTCGATTTTGAAAACAGCTCAGCAGCAATCTGCATGGTTTTCCAACGGTATTTGGTTTCCCAAATAGCTTGATCATCCCTCACTTTAAATGTTCTTGGTGCTCCATAATACTTACCAATTGCACAAGAACTGACCCATGCACAAAGCGTTTTCATCAATGAAGCTTTTATCAAACACTTTCGAAGTCATTTATGCAATCCTAGATTTAAATAAGTGACACAATCGAAACGATAACTAAAATCAACCGTCACTGTTGTCTAAATGAAGTTTATTTGTAAATAATATTTTTAGAGTCTTTTTCTTTGTAATAAACCTGGGTGAATATGTCATTAACCAAAGCGAAGCAAGATTTACGTATATGATACTCAAGAAAAGGTCAATATTTTTGTTTCCCTACATCAACAAACGAAAGAAAATCTCATTCCTTTTGCATTGAAACAAATCGTCTTTTCATACAGTAACTTTCTATTGCATTTTATATTTATTTTACCATATTGAGTAAAAGGGATTTTGTATTTCAGTTGTAGATAAAAAGCAGTACATATACGTATTAAACAGAACAACATAAAAGTTTGTTTTTCCCATAAGCACGTCATCTTGGTACATGACTTGAGATCCAATATGACAATGCTTCCGGATTTCGTGTCTAGAACAACATAAAGAAAAGAGATATTGAGAAAACCAAAATTTCTTCATTTACCTGAATGAACACAGTTCCCGGACCAGTAAATCGACAAACAAATCCTTCGCCAGAGTATATTCCACTCATAATACCACCACCAGTTCTCTCAATTGAATATGGACAATTCCATGCCACTAAATGTCCATTATCAACAATCCATTGTTCTCCGTGTCTTAAATCGCGTCTTACAATAGCGCCGAGAGACGTAACAAACATAATGCCCACACCCGATACACGATGAACAAAAAGACCTTCACCAGAAAGCAGTGCTTTACCAAATCCTTGAGATTTCGTCTCTTTTACGACACCATGAGTCATAGCTAAAAAGCCATCTCTACCGACATTCCATTCAGTTCGGCCATCCAGTTGGATAGCAACGATATCACCCCTATACAAAATGAAATCTCTATTTCAGTAACATGATCATATTCTTAGCAATTAGCTCTACAATTTTTATATTAAAAACTAGGTAACTTCATTTCACTAATTTTCTCAATTACGAGATAGTCATCTCTACTTGAATCATGCGGAAAACATACCAAATCGCTGGAGCAAGTAATACTTCACCAGGACCAGTATAGATTGATTGAGACATGTTACCACCAGTGAGCATTTTTTTGAACGAAAATTTAAACTTTCCTTTTAGCGTCACCTCAGGACTCATAGCAACCATTGCTCCAGGCTTTGCATAAAATGGAGCGTTGGGTTGTAATCTGACCCGAAGAAGCGCATTTGTATCACGATGATCTATTTTATAATAGCCACCATTAAATACACCGGTTGTATTGGCTAAACTAATTTGAGCCAGCGATTGCGATATTGCCATTTCTTTAGTAATATCAAAGTTTTTAATAGAAATCTAAAACAAAGTGTATGGGAGTACTTTTTTCTTCTATTAAAGTGCATAAGGGTACTTTGTTTCAAATAAGTAGGTACCTCAAAGTACCATCAAAAATTCTGAAAAAGTATCCCGTCACCTCTATATCTCTTGTAACGATAATAGACACAGTGGTCTTTATCGGTTGATAAACTGGACGAGTAGCTAGTCGCTATTCATTAACGATGTTCATTAACTATTTCATCAATCCAGAGTGTATGCATCTCACAATGAATACCTGTTTATATACGATAGTGTTACAAAGAGAGAGACGATGCAAAGAAGAATAGTGTTAAAAGACTAGAATCGGAAGACACACACACATTCAGAGAACACATTAGTATATATACCTCTGCGTGAGTCAAGCATCACATTCTTATGGTTCAACGAATCTTGACTCATGAAAGTAAATAAGAATACCAAGGATGATGCGTCATGAATGAAGGCCATAACAAATAGATAGGGAAGGTGAGGGAAAGAGAGATGAGCAGTGAAGCGTGACATATATCGCCATATCTCTGATATATAGTTACGATAAATTTGACCTCAATGAGTCGAGCAACATAAAAATAAATAAAGTTTAGATAAACCAA